TACAAAAAAAACTAAAAAACTAAAAAATTCAATTTAAAAAAAACTTAAATTTAGATTAAATCTAAAAAACTCAAATCGAACACATTGAATTGGATTTTTGACTATTTTAATTTTTATTTTTTAAAAGTTAGATTAAATTTTTGAATTGATTGTTATATTAAGGCATTGTTTGGAAAGACTAAATAAGTCTACACTTTTTATCTTTTTATCTTTTTTGAGTCACATCAATCAACATCTCCTCTTTACTTTTTTACATATCCTTTTATAAAAAGTAAAAAAATATGCTTATTTAGAACATTCCAAACATACTCTATTTGAAATGATATTTAAGATTGAAATGGTAAATTTATCCCTAACCTTATTTTTTTCAAAATTAATTTACAGTGACAAAATAGCATTTAACTGCTGTGGGATGGTAGTCATAGGCTCAGCCTACACTGAAAATACAGAGTAGGCTCTCCCAGCCACTGCTTTTATTTTTTTTTTAAATCAATGGGCTAACCAGCTACTTTTTGAGGCTAAAAGTTTTTTTCACACTTTGAGAAATAATCTGTAGTCACAGGCCGCTGGTCGCTGATTTAAAACCAGCCTACACTTTGAGAAATAAGTTTTTTTCACAATTTAATTCAAAAAATTCAAACCAAAGCTGTTCCCAAGAGTGGTCACGCGGAACATTGTTTGAAGATTGACTGGCTAGAAGAGCCAGACGATGCAGAGTTGGGAGGGCAGCAAATATATATATCAACAATGCTAGAGACCCAATGGGGGTGAACCCTAGGACCAAAACCCCCCCTTTTAGTGCCACGTGTCGTCCTGGTGTTGACTAAAACAAAAAAACAAAAAAAAACTGATTTTTGAATCAATCACAGGAGACCCCGGCACCCTCAGTGGGGGTCTCAAACTTTATTCTATATATATATATATATATGGTGTTTGAGAAGTAGCTATTTTAAAAAAAAAATTAGCTTGCTTGGTTTTATTTTTTTTAAAAATTTTATTTTCTTATTTTTCATAGTTTTTTGTTTTTACTAAATTTTTTTTAATATTTTAAGTAATTTTTTTACTTTTTAGACCCACCTAATATAAATACACCTAAAAAATAAAAAAATATAAATTTGTTTTTTAATAATTCATTAAATATCAAAAATATAAAAAAAAATACAAGAATTCAGTACATTTTTTGTATTTTTATGTATTTATTAATTTTTTAAAATATTTTTTCATAAATTTTTTACTTTTTAAATACATATAAGTAAGGTGCATCTAAAAAAGTAAAAAAAAACATGTTTAAAATTTTAAAAATATTCACTAAATACAAAAAAAAAAACTAAAAAATTCAATTTAAAAAAAACTTAAATTTAGATTAAATCTAAAAAACTCAAATCAAACACATTGAATTGGATTTTTGACTATTTTAATTTTTGTTTTTTAAAAGTTAGATTAAATTTTTGAATTGATTGTTATATTAAGGCCTTGTTTGGAAAGACTAAATAAGTCCACACTTTTTATCTTTTTATCTTTTTTGAGTCACATCAATCAACATCTCCTCTTTACTTTTTTACATATCCTTTTAAAAAAAGTAAAAAAATATATTTATTTAGAACATTCCAAACATACTCTAAAAAATATATTTGAAATGATATTTAAGATTGAAATGGTAAATTTATCCCTAACCTTATTTTTTTCAAAATTAATTTACAGCGACAAAATAGCATTTAACTGATGTGGGATGGTAGTCATAGGCTCAGCCTACACTGAAAATACAAAGTAGGCTGTCCCAGCCACTGCTTTTATTTTATTTTTAAATCAATGGGCTAACCAGCTACTTTTTGAGGCTAAAAGTTTTTTTTCACACTTTGAGAAATAATCTGTAGTCACAGGCCACTGATCGCTGATTTAAAACCAGCCTACACTTTGAGAAATAAGTTTTTTTCACAATTTAATTCAAAAAATTCAAACCAAACACACTTATCGCTATTCCCAAGTGTGGTCACGCGGAACATTGTTTGAAGATTGACTGTCTAGACGAGCTAGAAGATGCAGAGCTGGGAGGGCAGCAAATATATATATATATATATATATATAAGTTTGAGACCCCCACTGAGGGTGCCGGGGTCTCCAGTGATTGATTCAAAAATCTGTTTTTTTTTTGTTTTTTTTTTATTTTAGCCAACACCAGGACGACACGTGGCACTAAGAGGGGGGGTTTTGGTCCTAGGGTTCACCCCCATTGGGTCTCTAGCATTGTTGATATATATATAT